TGTCACTTAAGTTCTAGAAACTCATTGACAAACTTCATTTGTGAAATTCAGTTTCAAAGTAAATCCATTTAAGGAGCTTTATAAAAAGAGGCGAAAGGACAGCTCAGATTTTACTCCTAAGCCTGTGGGTAATCAGGGACCCAGGGTGCCGAGGAGAAGTCGCCCTGGGCGTGGATGTCACCCCCAGTGGAGCCCACATTGTAGCCCCTGAAAAAAAACCTGCTAAATGGCAAGCATTCTTCACCCTGCGGCTCTCTCCTTGAAGGAAATTCTAAAAATGACGGGCCTAGTTGTGGAATGAGGAACATCCCACGCTCTGCCACTCCTCGTTCCAAAATTAGACTTTGTCACTGATCTCAATGGTGGCAAAAAATAGCTAAACAGCTCCAGGGAGGACCCAAGCGGTCTCCAGCCTCTGCTGCTTCCCCTGCAAGAAGGCAGGCAACTGGAGAGCAAACTAGCTCTTACTCCCATCTCCCATTGCATTCAACAGTTCATCCTCCTCCTAATTCTCCAGGCCCACCCCGAACTGATACTACCCCCTACGCACCCGCCCCGTGTATAGCAAGCGATGATATGCATTGAATTTGAAAAGCAGGAAGGTAGAGAAGGAACTTTAAGACATAAACTCACTGTTACCAAGCCTGCTAAAAGAAAGGAGGAGTTTTTGCTTTTGGAGGCTTTTTGGGTTTTTTTTAGATAGAACTGGATATATATATTTTTTTTCTGAAATCTCCTGCTCAGTGGGAACATTAGTGCTTTAATACCCTTCACAGGAGTGAGGCAAATTGTCCCAGGAAAAGGGATTAGGAAGAGGAAAAAAATCCTGAATTTATGGCTGTCATAACCATGAGGTCCACAGTTACAGGCCATGATCTGAGAAGGCAACCTATTTCCATGGCTTTTCTAGGGCTGGCTCACCACCTGCATGCTTTGGTTCATGGAGCACTGTCTGCTTTCAAAGCCAACAGCAGAGCATCTTTAAGTCCCCATCACTACCCGGCCTCTGTCTGGCTCTCCCTCAGCTGTGTTCCACTTGCCTCTTACAGCAACTCTTTTGATAATACGGCGCCCACCAGTATTATCATTATTATCTTATTATCAGTATTATTATCATCTAGGACATGTCTTCTAGATCACATCTGCCAAGTCCCTCTTGCCATAAAAACTGATAATCCCTGGTTCCAAGGATTCATATATGGACATCTTTGTGGGACCTCTATTCACCTATTCTGGGTCACAGGATGGCTCTGTAGCTTTGTGCTAGGACATGACATCAGGTGGATGAAGGTCTCATGGGGCCGTCCATCTCTGCAGGCTTGAGAGCCTGACCACAGTGACAATGACAGTGAGCTAGGGCTTCCTGACAATGAGGCTAAGGCCACAGGTGAGCTTTTCCACTCTCCTCCAATTGCAACCTCCCCTCCCTCTCTCCATCTCTTCTCTCCCTCAGCCATGCATCCATTCATCCAACCATCCACTGACTTATCAATGGTGTGAGGGCAATTACCAGAAGACAATACAGCCAGATCTGTATTACAGAAAATTGCACAAACGAACCCCAGTAGACAGGCCAGCAATGTTGTTTCCATCTCTTTTCTCCCTAATTGAGCACTAAGTACCCATGGGCTAGGCTTTTCACAGGGCCCAGTTAACTTCCTCGGAACTCAAATCTCACTTATTGCATATACAGCAGGGTGTTCTCCCCTTAAAAGTGCATTTATTTTTCTAGAACTCATGAAGCAGACAGCAAATTAACAGCAAATGACATTATTTTCTTGTTAAATTTGCAAAGGGATGATCTGAATGAATTACACAGTCTTGATTAATTTTTAGTGGAAATAATGAGGTTGAAAATGGAAAAACACGTGCATGCAAAACCTGCCTTTCAAGCACCAATTTATGCTAATTATGGCCTTATAAATAAAGTGATCTTACAAAAACTTCTTGAGAAGCTTAAAAGCATCTCATGTGCTGGCTACATAAGTCTAATGCAATGTGCTTCTCTGTAAATTTTAAGTGATTTGCATTCTACTTCATGGCTTTCTCCTTCTCCCTCTCTCCATCTACCACTCCCCCATCTATCATCCATCCATTCATCCAACCTTCCAGTGACTTACCTATCTTACAACATGCAAAACTGATCCTCTAAAAACTATCAAATGGAATCATGCTATACTTTCTCAATCCTGACTTCAGGTTTGCTCTACTTAATGACAGACACAGAGAGAGAAGGAGACAGACAGACAGATGCGGGAGAGGTGAATGGAGAGAGTGAATGAAGTTGAATAGGGTCAAAGTACATTATACGCTTATAGTAAAATAGCACAATAAAACCTGACAAAATTACTTAAAGAAGAGGGAAAGGCGGGGTGAGAGAGAGTGAGAGAGGAGGCAGTACACTAAGAGTGTGTATCGAAATGGCATAATAACCCTCCTTGTAAAACTAAGTATGCCAATAAAGTCTTAATGAAAAAGGAAACAATAAACAACTGTGCAAAAGAGAGAGTGGGAAGGAGAGGAAAAAAGAAAAAGAGATGGAAAGAAGGGAGGAAGGAGGGAAAGAGGAAGGAAGAAAGGAAGAGAGGAAGGAAGGGAGGAAGGAAGGAAGGAAAGGAGGGAGGGAGGGAGGCAGGGAGGGAGGGAAGGAGGGAGGGAAATGGATGTGGTTTTTGCTAGAAATCATCAATCCATTACTAGGATCAATACAGATCCACTCATCTGCTCAGCTGTTGATACCAATAGTGACAAAGCCTTGGCTATCACAAATAGTAAAAATAACAGCTACCTTCCACATAAATTTATTACACAATCTTGAAAGTATTGCAAGCATACCTCACTGAAAACTGCAGGAAGACTCTACGATAAATACTATTTATTACCTTTCTCATTTTTACAAAGAAGAAAAGTGGAGCTTGGGGAAATGAAGAACTTTGTCCTTCTCCACAGGGCTGGAATAGCTCAGTGTTAGTGCTGGAGCTAGTTCTGCTCCATGGGAGAGATTCTAAGTCCATCACTGACCATATTGACCTAGCTCCCTACATTATCTGTGTCTACATTACCAGCATTGTCCATAATCATTTTGCTTTCCCCAAAACAGACAAGTAGCAGAGGAGAGGGAGAGCGATAACAAGTAATTGGTTTGCATAATTGAAGACAGAGAAATCCTGAGACCCGCAGTCTGCCGATGGTGGAAGTTCAAGTACAAAGTGGATAGTGATATTTCTCCTACTCAAGACACGGAGCAAACAGAGCCAATTCTCTCTCAGATTTTTAACTTTTGTTCTATTCAAGCCTCCAAACTGATCGGGCAAAACTCCCTTAGATTATTACGGGGGCGGGGGGGGGGGGAGGGGGTGATGTGCTTGGTTCAGATGAGCAGTGTCAAGGATATTCATCAAGAAACACCCTGAAGCTCACTCAGGATGACATTCTACCGAATATCTGGTACCCCGTGCCCCACACTTGAGTACCCCGCTTCACTCATGTGAGGGAAGCCTCACAGCATGGAAACAGGGGTGCATTAACTAGTCCAATGAACATACAGTCCAACAGCAGCCTCTGGCCTGCTGCCTGTATCATAAGCAAGAACAAATGTTTTGTTGGTTTTTTAAATACATACTTTCAGATGGTCATGGGGGGGGGGGGGGGGGGAACCAAAGGAACAATACTTTATTAAATGAGCAAAGGGTATGAAACACTGTTTTTAAACATAGTCTTTTCCATTGCATTACATCCTTTTCTGCAGCTGCTTCTGTGCTATAATAGCAGAAAATAAGGAGTTGTGACAGTCATTTTGAGCCCACCATCACTGTCAGATCTGCAAGGTTTTAATCACCATTGTCCTAAAACCCCAGCTTGCACTGTGACAGGTCACTGGGGAAAAATCGGGGTCAGCTCTGGCACAGTCACATCTTTGATATGCTTTGTCTCCTCATATGTCTTTTTTTTTTTTTTTGTCGGTCGTAAGGCTTGAACTCTGGGCCTGGGCGCTGTCCCTCAGCTCTTCAGCTCAAGGCAGCGCTCTACCACTTGAGCTACAGCGCCACTTCTGGTTTTCTGGTGGTTTATTGGAGATAGGAGTCTCACGGTCTCTCCTGCCCGGGCTGGCTTTGAACCGCGATCCTCAGATCTCAGCCTCCTGAGTAGCTAGGATTACAGGCGTGTGCCACCAGCGCCCGGCTCCTCATATGTCTTTAAATCCCACTATTCCAAAGGCATAAATCATAAATATTCAAACTACCTGAACCTTACCACACCAAACCAGCTCACTTTGATTTTATCCCTTTCCAGGTATTTACAACTATAAGTGTGTGATTGTGTTCACTTAACAGAATTAAGGAATTTAAGATTCCTTGAGTTTATTTTCCTTCAAATGAGAGACTAAGATATCATAATACTTTGTCTGATCTTTAGTCTCAAGAACTAATACAGTGTGAAGGAGAAGTATGTTCTGAAGCCAGTAGAAGTATTGCAGAACCTATGTTCTGGTTAGATATTTCTCACACACACTATTTGTGTCACACTAATGCACCAGCAATGCATGGCTATGTCAGCATGTTAGGTTTTCATTGGCCCCAAACCTGTTGCTATTTGAAATGCAGGTAGTTCATTCCCAACTGTTACCAACTCGATGAGCTTTTCTCATTCCTTTTGGTGTCCCTCATCTCTCTTCAATCATTTTTACTTTCTTTCCAGCTGCTGTTGGCATTGGAAATAACTTCTGCCATAAGTATCTATAGATGTTGACATACATTCAAATTGATTTTAAGGTAGACACCCATATACAATAATCACAAAGAAAACAATACATGATCAAGGATGCCTAGTTTTTACCAACTGGCCACCTAGGACATCATCTAGTCCCCATAGTACAGATTGCTGAGTATAGAAGGAAACTATCTGCTCAGATCATACTGGCCAGATTGTTTGGCACCAAAATTACCCAAGTACACTCTCCAAGAAGACACTGAGTGGGAAGGAAGAAATTCCACACGTACCATTGAATTTTTCACGCTCTGTAGCAAGCGCTCATGCTGCTCAGCAATGGCCAGGGCAGCCGAGTGGACCTTTTGGTAGATGGCCTCGCCGTCTCGCGTTTGAAAGATGAACAACCCTTCTCCAGTCTCACACATCCTGAAACGACAAAGAAGCCACTGAAAATCCAGCTCCCAGGAGTCCCAAGAGCTAAGATCTCAGGCCCGTTTCTTTATGCAATTAGTATGGTTGCTTACATTTACTAAACAAAGTGAACAAGGATCAAAACGTTCCAAGTGTCTAGTTAATGACTAAACCCGTAGGCAGGGAACCAACACTCCAGGATAACATGTGATGAGTGATTTTTTTTTTTAACCACAAAGAAAAGCCAAGGATTCCTGACAGAGCACCTTCTCAAGTCTCAGTATAATCCATGCACTTCACCTTTCATTCCCGGGGAGGAAACCTGGGTTCCAGCATTCCTGCTCCTCCCAGCCCAGGAGAGGCTTCCCACCAGAAACCATCCTGGGCAGCTTCAACCTGAGAGGATGATCTGTCTCCCTTCAATTCTGCCTTAACTCACCATGCTAACCAGAGCTTTGGGGATTCTTCTATTTCTGAAATCTCTGATGAAATTGTCGCCCAACTTTTCTAACCCAGCGATGAATCAATGCATCGAACCTACCTTAATTTCTCCTAATGAGCATGAAGGTGTTGGATTATGAAGGACAAGAGAAGCTCTTCAGAAGAACTGCATGGGTTTGATCACTGATGTCAAACATTATGACGAGGGTCCTGTCCACCCCAGACCATGAAAAACCAGAGGACCCAAACAAATGTCAGAAAAACTGTATACTGGAAACTAAGCAAAGCTTCTGCTCAAGCTATTGTTGATTTATCTACTGTAGTACAATATGTAATTCATGCAATAAAACAAAAAAGGCTGTCCCTATCTACTTTTCCACAATACCAGGGCCATATGGCAATTTCCCACATAGGGAAAGCTGGTCAAAATTATCCCACCTGAATTTTATTAGTAAGAGAAGAGGAAGAAAAAAGAAAACAAAAGAAATAGCTCTTTCAGTACATTAATATGAAGGATTTGCTCATGAAATTGATCGTGGGATTTTAGTCATTAAGTCTTTCTAATCCAATGAAGAACTAAAACTCAACTGCAAGGCATTCTCCATTTCCTTTATGAAGATATCCTACAGGAAATACTTTAACCCCTGTGACCCCCTTTCACCCATATATCAACCATACAAACCTGACCACCTTGTCAAATATGAATACATGAATTCATGAAGAGGAGGAATTAACCTTACTGATTCTTTAAGAATGGAAAGCAAGAAGCTGTTTCTCCTAGGGAAGCGGCCATTGTTTATTTTCCTACTTAAATGGCAAGCTTAGACTAAGAAGTATAAAGCTATCTGTTATTGGAAACACTTGTAGGACAATGGATTAGTATGAACTGTGCAGTTATGTGTCTCAAGCCTGGCAATCCAGTAGTTTTTAAAGGTTGTTTTGAACTGCAATCCACAGAAGAAATAATGCTTATATTGTGGCCCGGTGTGTGTCTATCTATTTGTGAATCTATCACCTTGTAAAAATGCTGATGTTGTCTTTTCTATCACTTTTTTAACTCTGGTAGTAGACTGCTGAGTCTGTATTATAACCTAATCACTGGCAAGATCTACACTCTGAAAAACATTCTTTTATCCAGTTTCTACTTTTGATAAAAATAATGAATCCACATTCTTTCTTCAAGGACATTTAAGTTCCTAAAATATTGTGATCTAAAACAAAGGAAATGAAAACAAGTACACTATCAAAAACACTTTCCTATGCCTGAAGTCTTGAAGACACACACACGTATGCACATTTACACACACAAACACACATGCAGACATATTCATACAATCGTATATGTGTATACATGTGCACATACAAATACACCCTCTTGCAAGCACATATACACACATGCACACATATATACAGATCTATAAGCACACATATTACATAAATATACACATACACACACATTTACAGAAAGAACCAGGAGTTACATCCTCAAAGCCCACCAGAGCTCAGGCAGTGGAAGTGACTGGATAAATCTGCTCAGACCATCAGTATCATGGAGTAGAGGAGTGAGGTTAACAGTGAACACAGGTCTTGTTCAAAGACCACAGCCAGCCCGCAGCCACGGTAAGAAAGGTATCTCTAGTGAAGCCACAGTTTCAGATTAAGACAAATCTTTTTCCTTATTTTTACGTTGGGACTGGGGTTTGAACTTAGGGCCTTGAGCTTACGAGGCTGTCTAGGGCTGTAATGTTTGAGTCACACCTCTGGTCCTGTATGTGCTGGTTACTTTTTAGATTGTATCTTGCAAACTTTCTGCCCTCCTGCTCAAACTATGATTTTCCTTCTCTCAGCCTCCCAAGTAGTTAATATTAGAGGTGTGAGTTGAAGGAACTCATCTATGTCACCTAAATTCCAACGGCTTGATCAACCAGATCTGTCCACGAAGCCCCCAGAGTGGTCAAAAGAGACAAAATGCATGAAGAGCTCTGAAATAGAAGAGAAATTAGATCTCTCGTTTGACTGCAGGGACTTTTGTTCATCTGTTGGATAGCATGTGTCCTTCAATTGGACAGCATGACCTAGGAAGATGTGAAAAGAACAAAGCCTGACCTTCCCATGAAGTTCCAGAAGGCTCCTTCTAGCTTCCTCTCACAGCTCTTCCAACCTAGTCATCCGCCCTTGTATGGAACTGTTTGATAAGCAGCTTTACAAAGTATTACAATGCTTCTGTAGGCCTTCACCAAAACATTGTAAAGGGCTAATGGCCTAAGGCAGTAAGAAGAAAATGGGAATAAAAAGAAAAAAAAAAAAAAAGCTAATGGTCTTATATAACCTAACATAGCAATGTCTGCTTCTCCTCTCTCCAGAAAACACAACACAGAATAAAGACACTCTAAGAGGAAAATAGCAAATCTACGTACTTGATTTCTTAGGGACCATTTCCTTTTTCTGTATCTTTTTGCTTTTAACCCTTGTCAAAGATCTTAGCTGGACATTTACTTTTTTAGTAACTGGTAAATTAAAAGAGATCGAGATGTGTATAAGATCTGCCAGAACTGATTATAATTTTTGCCCATAGTTTTAGTCAAAAGCATAAAAAAACCTGCAAGGAAATGACTTAATCACTATGAGAGTCACATTAAATATTATGCTTTTGTAGCCTAAAATCATCCCACATTCTGGAAAATACAAGGTTAGTTCTTAGCGCTCTGGGTGGTCACAAGAAGGAGTCTTGTTCACAGCTCTCTCTTACTCAAGAGTCGTGGCCTTAGACAAGCTCCGCCCACTCTCCCCAATCCCAGTGACCTCATAACTCAAATGGAGGAGGTGGCAAGGTCACCCTGATCTCCTGGGAGATCATGTTAGGAGAGCATGTTTTGCACTTAGTGAATGTTCTGGCATCCAGTGAGCACTTAATCAAGACATGTTGTCCTTGTCATTGCTCTAACCTCTTTCTTGGCATATGTAGCTATTTTACTTCACAGTTAAGTTGGTTAATATTTTTTTAATTGTAAAAACCCTGTACAGAGGGGTTACAGTTACATGAGTAAGTAATGAGTCCATTTCCTATCGAGCATTGTTACCCCCCTCCTTTGTTTTTCCCCTACCATCCTTTCCTCCCCACCTCCAAATTCCTCCCTCCCCGGCCAAAGTTGTAAAGTTCATTTTCAACATAACGTCTTGTTTGTTTCATTGTTACAATGGGTCAACCTGTATCCTTGTTTCAGCATTTTGTTTTTTCCCTTCCCCTCCCCAAATTAGAAAAATGTCTAACCTCCTAAAAGTATGGAAGCCAAAGAGGAAGAATACAGGAAGAAAGTCCACCTATATCTTGTCTGGGAGGAACGGTGGGTGACCACATCCCAGAGCAAGAGCCTGGAATCACGATGATGAAGATGAATGGAATGGAATGGAATGGAATGGAATGGAATGGAATGGAATGGAGTGTGTGGCTCAGGAAAGGGTGAGTTGCCAAATGACAGCTTGCTTTTGGGTAATCCCCACCAGCATACCTGAAGTCAGAAGTGAGGACTTCTTGGGGAATGTTCTCTCTAATTCTAGTTGTCCAACTCCATGCAACCCCCATGGGTGTTTAAGACTGCAAACCAACTTCATCCCTCACTACGCCCCCCTCCCCACAATTTGTTCTGCTCAGTCACATCAGCCCCCTGGCTCCATTTTCTTGTCTATCCTCTTTCTGGATATAACGCTTGCCCTCCAGATCTAACGTGGTTCATTGTTTCACTTCTCGTAATAAATTCCAACGTCACTGAGCCAGGAAAGCCAATCCCTTTGATGTCTTTTTCTCTTTTTTTCTTAATCAAGCCCTTTCTCCAGTATTGCTATTGCATCCTTCTACTTCATGTGTTTCACGAAGGCACTGAATCCATTACATTTTTTTTCAAATGTAGATCACTGTCTTTACCCTTCTCCTTCATTGCGTAAGTTTCATAAGGACAAAGAAGTTCATATGTCTGGTCCACTGTTCTACCTGCCATGCTTAGAAACAACCACACCAGGCAAGTGGGGTGAGGGGGTGGATAATGAATGGACAAAGGAGTAGCTCAGGTCACCAGGCCTTTCTGGAGCTCTGCAGTATCAACCCACACCAAAAGGATTGCATGTACCCCAAGACTATCACCTACAGTAGGATGGCCGTGGGACGAGGCAGGTTGAACAGCACCTAACCGTGCCTCAGAGGTCAGAAAGCCCATCTTTCCTTAGGGATTTCACACACGAATATTCCATATCAGAGGTAGAGAGACCCTAGCTAAGCTTCTGACCAGTGTGGCTTTGTTCGGTGTGTCTCCAAGGCTCTCGGCCAGCCCAGTGTCTGGTAGGGAATGGGCATGCAATGATGCAGCATTGAAGAGGCCAGTTACAGAAAGAATCCGCAGTAGAAAAGGGAACACTCCCTCCTGCTTTCACACACGCCTCCGCAACTCAACTATGATGATGAGTGCTCTCATAACCAAAGTCCTTTTAGAGATAAATGGGAATGAGGAACAACAGCCCATATCAGCAACACGACTGTGGTTTCTTTTTTTGGAGGGGGAGGGGGTCCAGTTGTGGAGCCT